CGCTTCCCCCACCGCCGCTGTCACTCACCCTCCACGCCCCCTCGACCTGACTCCGCCTAGTGCCGGCCCTCGTGAATTCTCTCAACTTAAGAGATCATTTTCTCTCGCATAATGACAACACATACATACTTAAGTGCATGATTGTAATTTTGAAGCATGATTTGGTTGCATACATCACGCTAGAAATGTTCCGGAGTAAGCGAGGTCAGCGTTTAAGTCAAATACAATTTGTGAGCAGCGAGGTGTGGCAACTGTACGATTCCCTCCCCCAACTGTCATGGCGGCACTCACAGCTTCATCAACCCGGGCGCCTAGCGCGCGATTTCCTTAAGCAAGACCTTTTGTAACCCAGTGGCCGGGACCTCCCCGGTATTGCTGTGGTGCCGTGTTGTGGCACCGTCGCTGTGTGTGAGTGCTGTTGCATGGTGCCAGTGTTACACAGTGGAAATCAATAGTGCAGGCTGGTGGCTTAAAAAAAATAATAATAAAAAAACGGCGGATTTGATCTGAAGTCGATTTTGATTGGGCGGTTTGTTGCCGCGGCGAGGCTCGCGTGTTGCCGTATTGATGTTGCGTGCTTAATGAATGTGTTTCAGTGAATGTGATTATGGCCGAGTATCAGCGGCTGGTCGGGAGACTGTCGCCACGGCTCCTGTTCTCACACCAGTTGTCAAAAGGTAATTATATCGCGCTGCACGAAGGCTAAGACTTGAAGCAAGAGGTATAATTGTTGTCGATGTTCTTATGCGTAAATTGGTGAGTTATATGGCCTGCGCCGGGTGTTGAAGAATGTGTCAAGGGCGGGAGATCACTCCGGCGGCCAACACTGGAGCCGTGCTACTGGTGGACTACACCCTCCGGCCGGCCGCTGGTACACCCTCCGGCCGGCCGCTGGTACTCCCTCCGGCCGGCCGCTGGTACTCCCTCCGGCCGGCCGCTGGTACTCCCTCCGGCCGGCCGCTGGTACTCCCTCCGGCCGGCCGCTGGTACTCCCTCCGGCCGGCCGCTGGTACTCCCTCCGGCCGGCCGCTGGTACTCCCTCTGGCCGGCCGCTGGTACTCCCTCCGGCCGGCCGCTGGTACTCGCTCCGGCCGGCCGCTGGTACTCCCTCTGGCCGGCCGCTGGTACACCCTCCGGCCGGCCGCTGGTACTCGCTCCGGCCGGCCGCTGGTACTCCCTCCGGCCGGCCGCTGGTACTCCCTCTGGCCGGCCGCTGGTACACCCTCCGGCCGGCCGCTGGTACTCCCTCCGGCGGCTAATAGTTTGCAAGGTGCCGCCCTGCAATACACAGATTACCGACAAGCTCATTTTTTTATTTGTACACCAGCCCCTCGGTACACCAGCCCCTCGGTACACCAGCCGCCCGGTACACCAGCCCCCCGGTACACCAGCCCCCCGGTACACCAGCCCCCCGGTACACCAGCCCCCGGTACACCAGCCCCCCCAGCACACCAGCCCCCCCGGTACACCAGCCCACCGTTACACCAGGCCCCCCCCCCGGTACACCAGCCCCCCCCCGGTACACCAGCCCCCCCGGCACACCAGCCCCCCGGTACACCATCCCCCCCGGTACACCAGCCCCCCCCGGTACACCAGCCCCCCGGTACACCAGCCCCCCGGTACACCAGTCTTCCGGTACACCAGCCCCCCGGTACACCATCTGGGCGGCTCCTCCAAGGGACTACCGGACACACTCAGTAAAGCAGAGACTAACAACCTTCAAATCCCGGTGTAATTGAGCAGTCCTGAAACACGCAATTGACGAGCGACCTCTCCGGTAATCCTGGGGGAGAGTGGGAGGGGGGAGGGAGAAGGTTTTAGAAGGATGTAGGGAAGAGATGTTCCTCTGAGGGGGGGGGGGCTAGAGGTGTCCCCTGGAGGTGGGGGGAGCCGAGAGGTGTCCCCTGGAGGGGGGGAGGACCGAGAGGTGTCCCCTGGAGAGAGGGGGGGCCGAGAGGTGTCCCCTAGAGAGAGGGGGACCGAGAGGTGTCCCCTGGAGGAGGGGGGGAGGCGTCCCTCGGAAGGGGGAGTTGATCCTATGAATGAGAGGGGAGACTGGAGATGATCCATGGAAAATGGGAAAGACAAAAGCAACATAACCTATGCACCTGGACGTGGGAACAGAACAAACCCTTAAACAGGGCCATTGAAAGGGAAGGAGAGGGAGGGGGTGGGGGAGGGGGGAACTTTTGAAGAGGCACTTTAGCTGGCATATGGGTGATGACCCTGAGAGAAATAGTCTGGTTCTTTCGTACACACACAGGGGGAGGTATAGGGACAGACACCCAACACCGTTACCAGACTGAGGGCTGAAATTTTCCCTTCCCATAGCTCATGGTAAACCATACCCGCTACTTTTCCCTGGAACACCACCCGCCCCATCGGTTAACAACCAGGTACCCAGTTACTGCTGGGTGAACAGAGGCGAACAGTTAAGGATTGGAGCCCAGTCAATCCACCTTGGACAGGACTAACTCAAACCAAATTGCTTACTGGCATAGTAAGATGTGAGGAAGTAATTGGTGGATAGATGGGAAATGGGTAGTGTTGGGTGAAGGGATGGGATGGGACGGAAGAATGCCAGGTGGAGGGTTGGGGAATAGTGTATGTCGGATAAAAGGATGGGGATGACGAAGTAATGGAATTGTAGATGAATGTGTGTTGATGGGAAGAGAGAGACGGGTGGTGGTGATCCATGTAATGGGGGTAGGTTTGGTAGAAAATGGGAAGGGGAGGAGGGGGGGGGGGAGTAATTGTTCATGGGAGGAAGGGAAGGGAAGCTATTCCATGAAGCAGACGAGATAGATGGAAGGGATCTTTTTGGGTGACGTATGAAATGAACTCTTATGGGTGGGTGAGTAAGGACTCACCATTTGGGTGAGTGGGGACTCACCAAGGGTGAGCCAGTGAAAAACAAGATGGGGTGTTGTGTCGTGGAACATTCAGCTACTTAGAATAAAAGTTCCAAATAACACGGGCTATAGTGAACTCGTAGAAGATGGAGAGAAATGACCAACCAAGGAACAGAGTGTAATACTGAGGAGTAGGGGGTGGAGAGGACGGCGGGGAAGAAAGGCACATTGGGAAGAGTCACACAGAGAAGCGAATAGTCAATAGAACAATCTACAAAAAAGGACCACCTTGACTCTGGAAGTGGGACAGACCGCTATGCTAGTTGCAATGGAAGTCCTTACTCCAGGAACTTGAACTGTTGGTAGAGGGGGGATGAAGCACCTAACTGTTGGTAGTGGGGGGTGAAACACGTAACTATGGGGTGATAAAATAGGGAGTGGGCTGCGGGCTGTGGGGTGGCACTTAAGAGTACAAATCATGTGGTGAGAGGGCAAGAGGTCGGGCCCCTTACTACCTGGTCACAGAACAAGATTATCAGAAGCAGTATGGATCGCCGTAAAAAGATATCAGTCGATCTATCTGGTTTCACGTTGAATTAGAAAAGCAGACATTGATGTCTGAAAACGACAAATACCTCGCCAATAATCAAAAAGTTATTTAGATAATCTGAATTGACATTGATTGCAGAGAATCTATAACAACAAATTTGTCTCGCACACGCACACACAGAACGTTCATTTTCATTTTATACAACTAATCATATATGGTTTAAACCCCCAAACGAAAATGCGACTTGTAATCCTGTAAATTGAGCTTGGGTGAGGATTAGGACTGGGCGACTTGTCGACCTATAAGCCGAGGCGAAGATAACACGAGTAAAATTAGATAAGGATAAACTTAAAAGAACAGATAAGAGGATATGTTATATGATAGCATAATACTTAAATAGTAGAGGTTATAGCAATCACAGAAACGTGGAAAATATTGAATTTAGAGAAATATTAGCAGAATTTAAAATTAATGGGTAGAAATGATGTCACATTAATTACACAATTAGACAAAAAAACGCTGGTAGCAATCTTTATCAGAGAAAATGATAAAGATGATAAAATGATTTTTTATCATTTAAAAACGATAAAAAATTAATCTAATGAAAATCAAAACGAGATTTTTGGGAGCAAAGATGTTGGGCATCTAGATATAATAATGACGATCAAACGACAGATCAGAAGATGGAGAAACGACGACGTTTCGATCCGTCGTGGACCATTATCAAGTCGAGTATGCTAATGTCTGCATTTCAGGTGATTTAAATTAAAAATCAACAGAAAACAGATTAAAAAGAACTTCTGAAGCAAATGACGAATTATTGGACAGTGTTTGCCATTAAGAAACTTGTAAACAACGTTGAAATAGGGAGTTGAGAGAAAGTACCCACGAGAAAATCAGAATCGACAAAACCCGGAGAAATTGGAAAAAAGAAAACTCAGTCATAATTTACAAGTGGAAAATAGAGAGGCTGGTCCCAAACCTGCACACAGAAATAACACCACATGAGACCAGGAGGCATGGCAGGATGTGCAGAATACCCACGTTGAAGAGCAGAGGTGCAACAGGTACTCTGAGAGAGAACGCTATCAACATCAGAGGCTCGAGACTGTTCAACAAGCTTCCATAAGGGACACATAAGGGACATAACTGGCCGACTACTCACAGTGTTCAAGAGAGAACTTCATAAGCACCACCAAAGAATACCTGATCAACCAAGCTGTGATTCATGCGTCAGACTGCGAGCAGCCGCGTCCAACAGCCTGGTTGACCAGACCATCAACCGGTCCCCTGGTCGGGGACCGGGCCGCGGGGACCTTGACCCCCGAAATCACCGCAAGGTAAGATGGTCTTCCAGTTTTTGAAAAGCTGATGAGGCACTGAAGAAAATCCTAGCGCATGTAGAATGTACAACCTTGAGCACAGAGGGTGGGCGGTTCTCTGGCCCTTGAGCACAGAGGGTGGGCGGTTCTCTGGCCCTTGAGCACAGAGTGGGTGGTTCTCTGGCCCTTGAGCACAGAGGGTGGGCGGTTCTCTGGCCCTTGAGCACAGAGGGTGGGCGGTTCTCTGGCCCTTGAGCACAGAGGGTGGGCGGTTCTCTAGCCCTTGAGCACAGAGTGGGTGGTTCTCTGGCCCTTGAGCACAGAGGGTGGGCGGTTCTCTAGCCCTTGAGCACAGAGTGGGTGGTTCTCTGGCCCTTGAGCACAGAGGGTGGGCGGTTCTTTGGCCCTTGAGCACAGAAGGTGGGCGGTTCTCTGGCCCTTGAGCACAGAAGGTGGGCGGCTCTCTGGCCCTTGAGCACAGAAGGTGGGCGGTTCTCTGGCCCTTGAGCACAGAGGGTGGGCGGTTCTTTGGCCCTTGAGCACAGAAGGTGGGCGGTTCTCTGGCCCTTGAGCACAGAGGGTGGGCGGTTCTCTGGCTCTTGAGCACAGAGGGTGGGCGGTTCTCTGGCCCTTGAGCACAGAGGGTGGGCGGTTCTCTGGCCCTTGAGCACAGAGGGTGGGCGGTTCTCTGGCCCTTGAGCACAGAGGGTGGGCGGTTCTCTGGCCCTTGAGCACAGAGGGTGGGCGGTTCTCTGGCCCTTGAGCACAGAGAGTGGGCGATGCTAGAGACATATTCAATCATATTTTAAACACTATACAAAGATTTCAATATTATATACCAGTCCGTGCTCGTGAATAACAGCAATGTACTCTTCAATCAAGCCGCCAGAGCGCTGATTATGTATAAAAACACTGACCCATGACTCACAATTGCCGTTCAAACTATTCTCAAACAGTCTTTCTCTCACGTCCTCTGTTCGAATTGGAGCTCTGTAAGCTTCACCACATACTACAAACACACGTAATTTGCTATTAAGAGTCTCAACACCTAATCTAGGCCTAGCTATACACCAAAATCTAATATTTTATATGTGAGAAAATGCTGATTTTGGATACACAATTTACAAATGCTTCTTTGAGGTCGGCCGCAGCTTGAACAATCACAGTCTGTGAAGCGGTTGCTCTACAGCCGTTACGCACAGCCAATTCAAGTAATTGCCAACAGAAACTAACCTAACACAGGCCTTTTACGCGAAATTACATTTACGCGAAATTACAACATTGTATACATGAAAACACAGATTTTGAATACATTGAAATGCTATACTATATTACGAATGCCTAACCTGAGGAGAGGTTCCATACACCTGGGGAACAGTAGTGTATGACGCTGCTCCGTTCCAGATATTGAAAAGGAACGTAGCGGACGCATATGGTAGTGGACACAAGTTACCAGTTGATTGACAGTAGAGAGGCGGGACCAAAGAGCCAGAGCTCAACCCCCCCGCAAACATAACTAGGTGAGTACAAGTTCCTGAAACAAGATTAGGTCATGGTTGCCATAAAATGGCCACAATTGCTGGACTAGAATGGAAGAGACAAAGTAAAGCAGGGAACCTTAGGCCTTTCCAGAGACCTTTATTCTTTATTCATAATTATATGAATTGGATACAGGAGCAAACACGAACTTTATTAAATTGGCCAATGATACAAAAATTGGAGAGGAATTCAAGTCAAACAAACCCGTTGTAGCATTAATATAACATATATGTTCACCCCTCTCCCCCACCCTTTGTCTTACCCCACGTCCCCCCTCCCACATCACACACACTCCCTCCCCGTGCTTAGCCCCCCCCCACTTTCCTTTCATAAAATCTAATATTAGGGAGCCCTGAAACTACTTTATGTTCTTATAGAAATATTTTTTTCTGATAAAAAAATCTTCGGGAATTTGACCGAATATTTCACCCTTAATCAGACTAGAATCCGTGAGGATCCAGCCCATCCTCCTGTTTAGAGAGTACTTTTTGTGACCATGTGGACCACAGTACCGTTGTCCATTGACGTAATGGTCAATTAGGTCGCATTTGGTACTATCCACTTTATACGAGTCCAGAAAAATAAAGCCAAAACCAAACTTAAATATTCGTAGGCCTAGTATAGCACATATATCTACTATATTAGGCCCCACATAACGTGCATTAAGCTTAGGATGAGTAAGTTATGGAAAAGTACAAAATTTTCTGGTTTGTTCAAATTCAATCGTCCCAAATTCTACTTTCTAATTGACCATTATGTCAATAAACAATGATACTATGGACTACATAATTACAAAAAGTACTATTGAAACAGGAGGATGAGCTGATATAATCTCTCTCACACACACACACGCAGTGTCAGAGTAGTTTACAGATTGAATGCATTAGGCAGTGAGGTGGTGGAGGCTGACTCCATACACAGTTTCAAATGTAGATATGATAGAGCCCAGTAGGCTCAGGAATCTGTACACCTGTTGATAGGCGGGACCACAGAGTCAAAGCTCAACCCCCGCAACCAACCATTTGGGATGGACGGTAGAGCGACGGTCTCGCTTCATGCAGGTCGGCGTTCAATCCCAGACTGTCCAAGTGGTTGGGCACCATTCCTTCCCCCGTTCCATCCCAAATCCTTAAGCTGACCCCTTCCCAGTGCTACATAGTCGTAATGGCTTGGTGCTTTCCCCTAGGTGAATACACCTCACAGAATTCTTTGCAATTCATGTAATGCATCACCATTACCCACGTACGTAATTGACATATCATTCACTCACTTCAGCGTACTGCAATATCAGTGTGTTTAACCAGCGGTAAAATGTCTGAACAACGTTAGCGGTGTAATCAAATATTAGTTTGGTTTAACTTTAGTAGTGTTATTTCAGCAGTTCGCGTGACAGTGACGTATATACAACACAGATGTTATATAAGTTTGAGTATAAATGTAAAATGTATTATGGAGGTACTATCCACAGCACTTTGTGACTCGTCGTTTGCACATGGAGGAAGTGTATGTCTTTAGCGAGCGAAGTTTGGTCTGTATTTGAATGGTCTAAGTTCGCTCGTTTATGTCTATAATCTTGTGTTCGTAATCCACGCGATGTCTACCGTCTAATGTTCGTAATCCATGCGTTATTGCCTGCAAATTTATGTTAGTAATCTATGCGCCCCTCAGCATATCAGTCTATGCAGCCCGTCCTCCAAAACTGGGGAGGGGAAATGTAACATCACAGTAAGTGTAATTATGTACTATTCACAGCAGTCAGGAATTGTACTTATTTTCACTTAGCATTAAACTGTACGGTCAAATATATTGTGCATATTTGAATTTACCTTTAAAGCTGAATAGAAAACCATAACCTAACCTTCTTAGTGTTTGATGATAAGCATTTTATTGATTCTTAATTACAATTAGTACTTAACCTATAACTATATTGATATTACAGTTTTATAAAACAAAACTAAAATATATCAATAAATTGTAAAGTAACTCAGGATATTTTCAAATTTTGTATAAAATCTCTATTGTTTAATAAGACTGAAAAATAAATTCCTAATATTTAAAACTTGGTTACTCTTATACGTCAAACTAACACTATCAATACTCTATTTGTTTAACAGGCTAAATTGTCTTAAATATTATAAGTGTTTCGAAAATGTAAACTTAGGAATTTATATATTGAAACATTGTATGTTCTCGAAGTATTGGAACAAAACAATCTTCGCAACCTCTCATAAATGAAATATAATTTATGCAATATATATTATTTCGTGACCCTGGTCAAAGCTCAAAATATTTGTATTTTAGAGCATTATAAACTATCAATAATACAGCCTAATTTCGTTAGTTGCAGAATGTCGCAGTTAAGGATATCTGCCAACATACTACTGATCCACTAGGCCTAATTGTGTGTGGCTAAAAAGCATGAAAAAGTTATATATTGGTAGCAGTCTTTCTTAAAAACGTGTTATTGATTATCACTGAGATGATGATATCAATAATTTTAGCACCAATCTCCTCTATACTTCTCATATTCTTCCTCCTTGGGAAGGCAGCGGACAAATTTACCAAAATTCGTTTCTCAACTTAATTTGGCCTGACCCATGTCGCTGAAGGACGCGTTTCAGTGAAGCTCTCTTCAGCATCTTCGGAGGCTATGAAAAAGTGCCTGCGTATACATTATTAGGACTGAGGAGTTACACAGCCTAAATTGACAGGGAGGTAGTGTGAGGAGGAAGTTGCTCACCAACGTGCGCCATGGATATGACTTATGATAAAGAACTGATGCATACTTAGAGAGAGAGAGAGAGAGAGAGAGAGAGAGAGAGAGAGAGAGAGAGAGAGAGAGAGAGAGAGGAAGGAAGGGAGGGAGGGAGAAAGAGACAGATAGTGATACCTTTCACTGTACACTATATATTACCGGTGGCTTTTATGCCCATTTAAATTGTTAATGTTAATTGTCTATTTGATTAACTGACGGTAGTTTCCAGCGATCATTTATCACCCAAATTACTTTATATTTCACACATCAGCGAATTCTCCTATTAACGGTCCATAATTTAGGTTTACACGTCAGCGATATTATGTGTATATATTAGTGTGTGTGTGTATTAGTTATTATACTATATATATATATATATATATATATATATATATATATATATATATATATATATACTTCAATAAACAATGAAAACTAGTGTAACTTTTAATCAACTCTATACTACATTAACCTAATTTTGCTGTATAATACATCAATATTATGTAGAGAGAAGTTGGATCCGGTTAACAGAAATATAGTCAACACTGTTTACTGAACCTCAGACGCCAAGGACGTCTAAGCGGGTTTCAGTTTCTTTATTGCTGAAGTTCCATTTTTTCATGTATTTGTTGCTTTAATTGGAAACTTGCAAAGTTTTCCTTGTGCGTTTTTGTTAATATTTTAAATTAAGTATTTGATCGTTATCGCGATCATCTCTGTTATGTAGTTTCGATTTTGTTGTATATATCCAATTTTCTTTAGTTTGTCTTCTCCCTTGTCCTCTTGTCCCATTAGCCTCTTTCCCGCCATCTATCATCCGGCCCCCCTGCTTGCCCTATTTATCATGCTTCCCTTCCACACCAATTTATCAAGCGCTGTTACTTTGTTTTTTAATTTGTCTCTTCCCCCCTTTTGCCTTCCCTCCTCATCACTCCCTTGGCTTACCAGTCTCTCTTGACCCCCAATTGTGCCATGTCTATTTCCTTACTCCCAATTACCAACAAATTTTCCGCCCAATTTAATCGGGTGTTCCCCATTCTCTAATCTACCCCCACCCCCCCACCCCCATCCCTTCCTAGTTCATCAGGCCTACAGCTCTAATCTTCCATCCCATCCCTCTCTCTTTCCAATTTGCTACGCTCCCTCCATACTATTTTCGTTTCCTCTTCCTTTCCTTCTATTTTATTGGTCCATATTCCAATTAGACTCCAATTTACCTGGGCGACTTTCTGCCCCTAATTAGGCAAAGGTCCAACCCCTCCCCTCATGCCCCCTAACAACCAATCCTATTCAACTATGCCCCTCCCACCAACTCAACCAAACAACTTTCCTGAGTAGTTCCATCAACCTCAATTACACCACCCTTCTCCCCCCCTCACCGAATTAGTTACACACCTTCATCAACTTTCCAATAACCTCTTATTCCCCCCACCCCCCACCCCCTTCCCATCATTCTGATATCCTACAATTTCCCCTTTATCATCCCTTCCCTTCACTC